GAAACACGTCGGGGTGAAGTAGGACACGCTAGCAACCATTCTTCAGCTCGACACAATTGTTTAACTTGTCTCTTGTTCCAAACCCGGTTGAACTGCAGGGACGTTTCTGTGCCAGACAGTCACCCTTGCATGTACGCTTAGTTTCTTTATCTTTCATCAAACTGTAAAAGGATATCGGACTTGATTACACATCGAGATGTATTCTACCGAGTATACAATGAAAAGTGTCTCAAGGCACTAAACGACTGTGTGAAAGCCTGTCCAGCGAACATACTTTATTTTTCCCCTACAAGTAGACAGAATGCTAGCGTTCAATGGAATATAACAGATTACAAGGAACGAATTATACTGGGTATGCAATGATAGGCGCCTTGACGGACTGAAAGGTTGGTTTGAAAGCCTATCTGCTCGTGGTCCCCTCGCCCCAGTCGATTCGGCACCCCTGCATCACCGTATTTGAGGCAACGCCATCAGATACCATAAACGAAGCCCTACCTAAAGGTAAGCTATCACACGTTACACCGTGACGCCGTGACGCAGTGACACTCTTGAGCTAAGTTCCGCCAGTTAGCGAGACAACAACACTGCCAAGCATAGTAGACACTACCAGAGGCGAGGATCGAACTCGCGACCTTCTGCGTGTAAGGCAGACGTCATATTCGGCGGTTATGACCCGGGTTATGAACCGGGGTAGTCTAGCGGTTATTAATCGCTAGACTACCCCGGCATGCTATGTCCATTAGGAATGTTTAAGGACGCGCATCGTCTCACTATAATTCCACGTAGACGTGCATTGAGCTGATTAAGTATTGCATCACTCAAGCCAGTCCCGATCTTATTCCGTTTGCGAGTGTGCAAGAAGTCTATCATCAGATCTTGCAAAGTTCTTCGAATAAAGTACTTATACCCACACGACGCCAAGTGTGAATGATACACTCTAGTTTCATCGCCTGCATGACTGAGATATTTTTTCAGCTTTTGACCAACTAGAAGACCCCGTTGCCTCCATAACATCTCGAATGATATAGCAACGTACTTTTAGTGCGAGTCAAACAGGCATCGTTGTTAACGCGTTATCAATGTTAC